TGATGATGCTGCTGATGATCATTATGATGATGACGATGACAATGATGAGGATGCTGATGATGATGATGACGATGATGATGGTACTGATAATGATGATGATGATGATGATGATGATGATGATGATGATGATGATGATGATGATGATGATGATGATGATTATGCTTCTGATGATGATGATGCTGATGCTGCTGCTGCTGATGATGATGCTGATGCTGATGATGCTGATGCTGCTGCTGCTGATGATGCTGATGATGATGATGATGATGATGATGATGATGATGATGATGATGATGATGATGATAAGGAGGAGGAGGGGGAGGAGGAACGAGGGAGGAAAAGGAGTAACAAAGGAAGAGGAAGAGGAGGAGGAGGACAAGGAGGAGGAGGAGGAGGAGGAATGAAAAAGGATAAGGAGGAGGAGAAACGAAGGAGGAGGAGGAGGAGGACAAGGAGAAGGAGGGAGGAAGAGGAGGAACGAAGGAGGAGGAGGAGAAGGAGGAGGAGGAGGACAAGGAGGGGGCGGAGGAGGAGGGAGGAGGATGAGGAGGAGGGGGAGGAGGAGAAGGAGGAGGAGGAGGAGAAAGAGGAGGAAGAGTAGGAGGAGGACGAGGAGGAGGACGAGGCGGGAGGAGCAGGAGGAGGAAGAGAAGGAGGAGGTTGAGGAGGAGGAGGAGGGAGAAGGAGGAGAAACGAAGGGGAAGGAGGAGGAGGAGGGGGTATAGGAGGAGGAGGACGACGACGACGAGGAGGACGAGGAACGAGAGAGGAGAAGGAGGAGGAGAAGGAGGAGGAAGAGGAGGAGGAGGAGGAGGAACGAAGGAGGAGGAAGATGAGGAGGAGGAACGAACGAGGAGGAGGGGGAGGAGGAGAAGGAGGAGGTTGTTGTTGAATGTGAATTACTAAACAATTATTATAGTTGGGCCCCCCCACGCGCCTTGGCGCTCTCGCCTCAGCGCCGGCTACATTTTCATTGAAAATGAGGCACACGATCGAGCGGTTTGGGGGGGGCGCCAAAACCGGCCCTCGAACAACAACAACAACAACGCTCCCGCTCGAGATTTCTTCATTTACTCAGGGCAAGTACTCTTGCTCGCCGCCGAAAGCAGCCGTCCCAGCAAAACCACCGCTGCCGCTCGAGACTTCCTCCCGTTTTACGCTGGACTGTTGCGCTACTCTTTCTCTCGTCGGCGCCGTGCCCAGCAACAACAACGCTCCCGCTCGAGACCTCCTCCCCTTTTTACTCAAGGCGGTGCTCTTCCTCGCCGCCGAAAACCGCCGTCCCGACAAAACCAGGTCATTGCCTCGCCGCCGACAGCCCCCATCCCCGCCAAAGCAATCCTGCCGCTCGATACTTGCTTGTGCTTTACCCTTCACTAGGGCTCCACTGGCGGTCTCGCATCGGCGCAGCAAGGCACGGGCATGCGTTTTCGAGGCGGGATATGTTGAAATTCCTCGGAGGATGTGATTGCAAGACTGCATTGGGCGAGAGACCTGGGAATGGGAATAACGGACCCCGCTATAGAACAATAGTCCCCCATGATGGGGATGGTTATCATGCTGGTCGCACGCTTGTGGAAACATATCGAATGAGGGTAGACTGATTGTTGTCGTTGGTGTTGTTGTTGATGGTGTTGATGTTGCTGCTGTTATTGCTGTTGTACTTGTTGCTGTTGTTGCTGTTGCTGTTGATGTTAGTGATGCTGATGGTGATGATGATGCTGATGATGATGATGCTGATGAAGAGGAGGAGGAGGAGGAGGAGGAGGAGGAACGGAGGTTGAGGAGGAACGAAGGGGGAGGAAGAGGAACGAAGGAGGAGGTAGAGCAGAAGGATGAAGAGGGGAAGGAAGAGGAGGAGGAGGCGGATGAGGAGGAGGAGGAGGATTAACGAGGAAGGAGGAGGAGGAGGAGGGAGGAGGAGGAGGAGAGGAGAAGGAAAAGGAGGAGGAGAAGGAGGAGGAGGAGGGACGAGACGAGGAAGAAGAAGAAGAAGGAACGAAGGAGGAGGAGAGCGGAGGAGACAGAGGAGGGCAGAGATGAGGAGAGTTAAACGAGGAAGGGAAGGAGGTAGGAGGAGGAGGAGGAGGAAGAGTGATGATGAGAGCCCTGATGCTGAGGAAGGCGAAGGAGGAGAGGAGGACGAGGAGGAGGAGAGGAGGAGGGAGGAAAAGGAGGAGGAGAAGGAGGAGGAGCAGCAAAGCAACAGAAGTAGCAGGAGGATAGGAGGAGGAGGAGGTGGAGGAGGAGGAAGGAGAAAGGAGGAGAGAAGAGGAGGAAGAGTAGGAGGAGACAAGAGAGGAGGAGGGGCCCTGGAGGCCGAGGAGGAACAGGAGGAGGAGGAGGGAGGAGAGGAAGGAGGAAGAGTAGCAAGCTAGGTGCGATCGCGTCATATCTGACGTCCTACCCCTCCCATCCCTTACCATGGCGCTGATTTTCTCTATCCGCGGACGCGTGTCGTAGCGGACCTGTGGCTTCGCGCGCGCGTGCGTAGTGGGTGGTGGTGCACGTGCGTGCGTGCGTGCGTGTGTGCGTGGTTGTCGTGGTGGTGGTGGTGGTGGTGGTGGTGGTGGTGGTGGTGGTGGTGGTGGTGGTGGTGGTGGTGGTGGTGGTGGTGGTGGTGGAGGTGGTGGTGGTGGTGGTGGTGGTGGTGGTGGTGGTGGTGGTGGTGGTGGTGGTGGTGGTGGTGGTGGTGGTGGTGGTGCTGGTGGTGGTGGTGGTGGTGGTGGTGGTGGTGGTGGTGGTGGTGGTGCGGCGCAGTGGTGGCGGGCGGATGGGCGCGCGAGAAAGAGGCCCGCGCTGGGGCAAGAACGCCATCCTGAACGACGGAGGCCAAACACCGATCCGAAAATGAGGCCCACGCTGCAGCGGGAGCACGATTCGGAACGAATCGGGAGCAGAAATGAAGCCGGCGCCTCAACGAGAGCAGCATTTTGGGAAAAAATGACGCCGGCGCCTCAGCGAGAGTCGTTTCCCGGGATTTCCCGGGCATCCTGTGTGTAAAAAAACAGTACGCGGAGGGTGCGCGGCCATCACCCGGACGCCATCAGGGAAGAGGGAGAGTATATTCATATTGAGTAATTGTGGACAGGAGAGAGAGGAGAGGAAGGAGGAGGAGGAGGAGAGGGAAAAGGACGAGGAGGAGAAGGAGGAGGAGGAGGAGGAGGAGGAGGAGGAGGAGAGGGACGAGGACGAGGGCCGAGGAGGAGGGAGGAGGAGGAGGAGGAGGAGGAGGAAAAGGGAAAAGAAGGACCGAGGGAGAAGGAAGAGGAGGAGGAGGAGGAGGAGGAGGAGACGAGCGTAGAGAGGGCCGTCCTGTCTGCACACTACCTGACAAACCCGGCCCCGCCCGCGGCGCCTAGCGGCTGGGCGGCAAGGGCGGGGGCCTCCTGCCCGTCGGGCATGGGCACGAAGTTCGGCACGTCGATGGACGCAGCCGAAAATTTATATTGTAGGCGGCTGGGCGGCGAAGCGGCGGCGATGAGCAAGGGGGGACAGGCGGGCGCAGGATCAGAGCGGGGTGCCCACGACATCGTGGCCAACGGAGTGATGATGGGCGAGTGCGGGAACACAACTGCAGTAGAAGGGGGAGCAGGAGGGGAGCAAGCAGCAGCAGGAGCAGAGCACATCAACGGAGCGAAGGACGGGGGAAGAAGAGGCGACGGCGATAGGCCTTTTCCAGTTTGCCCCTCACGAGTTGGGGTGCCTGCCGTCGGAGAGGCCGTTGAGGGAAGTGTCGCCCTCTGTGAGCCCGATGCCGCCGAGGACGGTGAGCAGGGAGCAATACACGGTGACGGCGCCACTGGAGTCGGCGAGGCCGCTCTCAAAGTCCCCGCAGAGCATGAAGCCGGTCCTGACAAGGTCATTGGAGCACAGGACGCCGAAGTTGAAGCAATACCCGATACAGACAGTGTCGATCTCGGAGAATCTGACAGGAGGTCGTGCCCAGAGCCAGCTCGAGACCCGTACTCACAATTTAAGCCAGTAGAGACTTCAGGCTCGCAATATACTCGGGGAACCTGGGCAGGCGGGCTCGAGGAGCACCCACCCACAGGATTTTGCGTACTGATGCCAGCAAGAGACGTGATCTCACAACTTACTCCTGAGCCCTTATTTACATCAGAGGCGGTCGACCTCCGAGCTCGAGACAGAGGCTCGCAACTTACTCCAGAGCCGTTATTTCCAACAGAGGCGGTCGACCTCCGCGATCTAACGCCAGTGGCCGCAGGGCTCGAGGAGCACCCTGCAGCAGAGACCTGGAGAAGGAAAGAGGCAGGGTCGACGTCCCCATCTCCATCGGCGTCATCTCCATCTTCAGATTCCATTGTTGAGACCAGTAGAGAAAGGTAGCGGACCGCTCCGCAGGCAGTGACCGTGGGCAGGACCTCGACTCCATCGCTGTCCACAAGAAGGTCGCGTACACGTTGTGGCGCAGCTCGTCCCATGTATTGCCTCATCTCTCTGCGAATCTCACGAAGTGCCTGGTAATGTCGATCGGCCGCCTCCTCCCACCGCTCGTGCCGAGTCAAGGCGTGGCGAGGCTCATTCAGCCACCGAAGGTAAGCAACAGAGTTGAGGCGCCCTTCACGAGAAGTGTCCCAGGCAATCGAGCAGATATGACGAGCGAGTTCGTCGAGTGTGCCACTCCAACCAGAAGAATCCACCCAGTCCAACGCATCTAATTTGGCGCGCACGTACGGGATGCACCAAAGCCACCAGTCAGCACGGCCACTCTCGGGGTCATCCAGGCGCAAGACCCAGCGCGTAGCCCTTGAAGCAATACCTTCGGCAAGGACAGCTGGTGGGAGGAGGAGGAGGAGGAGGAGGAGGAGGAGGAGGAGGAGGAGGACGAGGACAAGGAGGATGAGGAGGGGGAGGAGGAGGAGGAGGATGAGGAGGAGGAGGACGAGGACGAGGAGGAGGAGGAGGACGAAGAGGACGAGGACGAAGAGGAGGAAGAGGAGGAGGACGATGCGGTGGTGGTGCACATCTTTGGGCACCGCAGTCCTGGCGCCACCCCGGCGGGAACGGCACGCGCGTGGGCGACGGCGCGGCGCCGCCGAGCACCCTGCGCACACCCTGCAAGGCCCGCTGCACTCTCTCCCTCCCTCCCTCCCTCCCTCGTTCCCTCTCCTCCTCCTCCTCCTCCTCCTCTCCTTCGTCTCCTCCTCCTCCTCCTCCTCCTCCTTCTCCTCGTCCTCCTCTACTCCTACTCCTCCTTTTCCTCCTCCTCCTCCTCCTTCTCCTCCTCCCTTCCTCCTCCTCCTCCTCCTCCTCCTCCTCCTCCTCCTCCTCCTCCTCCTCCCCTTCTTCCTCTTGCTGAACGAAAAGGGCAAAGACAGAGGCGGGCCAGCAAGCAAAAGCAGGGGGGATAACCAGTCCTCGCGCCCCTCAGCCAACTACCAGACAGCGCTGGTGGGGGAGAGGAGACAGGACAGGCAAAGGAGGAGGAGGAGGAACCGGACGAGGCGGGTTTCGTCGCTGGGCCCGCCGACCCTGCCGGGCAAGCAGGCCACCCCTGCGATTAGGACCGAGTCCCCCGGCAAGCAGGCGGGGGCGAGAAACGACCGAACGGAGGGCGGGAACGGGTGAGAGGAGCGAGAGAGGCCACGGAGCCAGGAGAAACAGGATAGCACGAGGAGGGAGGGACGAGGGACACAGGACGGAGAGAGAAAGCAGGCAAGCAGCGCAGAGAGCAGAGGGAGGGGGCGCGGTGAAAGGTTCATGAATGAGCTGGGCAAGGATGGGGAGGGAGGGCAGAGAGACGAGTGACCCTGGGGGATTCCGCTCGGGCCCCCTTCCCAGGGCGCGGGAGGCCCGCCGCGCCCGCGAGCAGCTGGGCGGCGACCCCGCGCTGCAGCGCCGCGGCGAGGCTCTGTCTAATCTGGCGTAGGTCGGCTAACGCCTCCGCGCGCCGGACGCCGGCGGGCGCCGCTGCCTTGGCCCAGCGGGGGAGCTCCGAGCCCCAGCGTCCGCCGGTCTCGAACGCGGCAGCCAGCACTCCGCCTCCCGGGTAGCGTTGGTGTCTTGTTCGCTCCCGATCGGCGGCCGCCTGGCCGTCGCGCCGAGACCTGGCCGCTGCCAGGCTGGGGTCTGCTGTGGTGATTTCGACCACGCTCACGTCGATCGCGACAGGGCCAGAACTGACGGGATCGTGCGGCAATACCACGTCGAGGACTGCCCTCTCAATGGTGCCGTTTGCACGCACGCGGTCCCATCTTGGGCACGCTTGCTCTGTCAGTGCCTCGTCCTCGCCCCACTCTCGCTTGCACCACGCTGCCAGCGCGTCGCGGTATCTGTTGTGCCTGCGGCAGGAGCCGGGGCCCTGGTCGCAGCAGCACTCGAGGCTCCTCCTACTCCTCCTCCTCCTCTTCCTCCTCCTCCTTGTCCTCCTCCTCCTCCTTTTCCCCCTCCTCCTTTGTTCCTCCTCCTCCTCCATTTCTTCTCCTCCTCCTCCTCCTCCTCCTCCTCCTCCCCCTCCTCCTCCATTCCTTCTCCGTATAGATAACTCCTCCCTGTCGCACCCCGAGGCCAGTTTTTAGGGCGGGCCGGGCGTTTCTCCTGAGACCTCCCTACCACTTCTAATTCTGAAGCGTGAAAACTGACAACAGCTTTGTCACGGATGGAGGGCGGGTGGTTTTCAAAATGTGGCTCTCGTCTCAGCGCCGCGCACATTCGTTTTAACCAATTGAAAGAGCTTCACGGATTGGGTGCGGGTGGTTTTCAAAATGTGGTTCTCGCCTGAGCGCCGCGCACATTTTAAAACAATGCAACAATAATTTCACGGATTGAGGGCGGGTCGTTTTCAAAATGTGTTTCTCGCCTCATCGCCGCGCACATTCGTTCTAACAATTTGCAAGAAGAGCTTCACGGATTGAGGGCGGGTCGTTTTCAAAATGTGGTCATCGCCTTAGCGCCGCGCGCATTTGTTAAAAAATGCCAGACGAGCTTCACGGATTGAGGGTGGGTCGTTTTCAAAATGTGGTTCTCGTCTTAGCGCCGCGCACATTCGTTTTTCAAATGTGCGAAGGTTTCATGGATCTCCAGGATCAGCGTACCAGGAAAGGTGTTTTGGAAGGATTGACGATTATGCGAGCGCAGCAAGTATGTCGATTCGCGGTGTTGAAATCCCCAAAATTGCGTTCTGGCGCAGTTCCGGATCAAGACGCAGCAGTCAGGTTGATATGTGGCGTTGAAATCCCGAGAACAATGTTTTGGCACGGTTCAGTATCTTCAGACTGTTGTCTTCCAGCGAGGCACTTCCTTCAATGGAAATGAACCGTTGTAGGGGCCTACGAAGAGGGAGCGTGGAGGGAGGGTTAATTCCAACATCGTTGATGACTCTTGGGTTTCCACTGGTCCTCCTCCTCCTCCTTCCTCGTTCCCCCTCCTCCTCCTCCTCCTCCTCCTCCTCCTCCTCCATTCCTTCTCGTTGTAGATAACTCTTCCCTGTCGCACCCCGAGGCCAGTTTTCAGCGCGGGCCGGGCGTTTCGCCTGAGAGATCCTTACCACTTATGACTCTGAAGTTTAATAATGACAGCATCTTCACAGATGGAGGGCGGGTTGTTTTCAAAACGTGGCTCTCGCCTTAGCGCCGCGCATATTCGCTTTAAACATCTGCAAGAGCTTCACGGATTGAGGGCGGGTGGTTTTGAAAATGTGGCTCTCGCCTTAGCGCCGCGCAAATTGGTTTTCAAAAATTGCACGAGTTTCACGGATTGAGGGCGGGTCGTTTTCCAAATGTGGTTCTCGCCGCATCGCCGCGCACATTCGTTTTAAACGTTTGCAAGAGTTTCATGGAGTCCCATGATCAACGTACCAACAAATGTGTTTTGAAAGGGTTCAAGATTATGCTGGTGCAACAATTATGTCGGTTCGCGGTGTTGAAATCAAAAAACACCCTGGCACGATTCCGGATCGTCAACACGCAGCTGTCAGGTTCATACGTGGCGTTGAAGCCGAGCGCAATGTTTTGGCATGCTTCAGGATCTTACAACGGTTGTCTTCCAACGGAACAGTTCCTTCAATGAACATAAACCGTTGTAGAGGCCTATGAAGAGGGAGCTTGGAGGGGGGGTTAATTCAAATATCGTTGATGACTCATGGTTTTACACTGGTCCTCCTCCTCCTCCTCCTCATCCTCGTCCCTCCTCCTTCTCCTCCCCCTCCTCCTCCTCCGCCTCCTCCTCAGACTCCTCCTCCTTCTCCTCCTCCTTCCTCCTCCTCCTCCCTCCCTCCCTCCCTCTCTCCCTCCCTCCATCCCTCCCTTCTTCCCTCTCTCCCTCCCCCTCCTCTCAACCTCCCTCCTCCCCTCCTCTCCCTCTATCCTCCTCCCCCTCCTCTCCTCCCTCCCCTCCTCCCCCTCCTCCTCCTCTCCTCCCTCCTCCTCCTGCTCTCCGCCTCCTCCTCTCCTTTCCTCTTTCCTCCTCCTCCTCGTTTCGTCCTCGTCCTCGTTCTCGTCATTGTCGTCCTCGTCGTCGTCCTCTCCTCCTCTCCTCCTCTCCTCCCCCTCCTACTCCTCCTCCCCCTCCTCATCCTCCCTCTTCCTCTCCTCTTCCTGCTCCTCCCTCCTCTCTCCTCTCCTCCTTCTCCTCCTCCTACTTCTCTCCTTTCTCCTCCTCCTCCTCCTCCCGCCTTCCCCTCCTTCTCCTCTTCCTCCCCCCCTCCTCCCCTCGTCCTCGTCCTCGTCCTCGTCCTCCTCGTCCTCCTCCTCTCCTCCTCCTCCTCCTCTCCTCCTCCTGCTCCTCCCCCTCCTACTCCTCCTCCTTCTCCTCCTCATCCTCTTCCCCCTCCTCCTCCTCCTACTCCTCCTCCTCCTTCAGCTCCTGCAGGGTCCAGTGTACCTCTGTGGCGCCCAGGCCCAGCGCGTAGTATGAGGCCGCGGGGAGCATTGCGCGCTTGTCGGCGGCCCTCTCGAAATCCTCGCTGGCGCCCTCGTCGTCTTGTGAGCGACGAGAGAAAAACGGGTCTCACACGAGAAGACGTAGCGACCTTCTGCCGCGGCCTACTCGGGCCGCCAGTGTGGTGTGCCCGTGGAGACGAAGGCGCTCGCGCGCGGCCCTGCGCGCAGGCTTACGCGGGAAACTCGCACGCGAATGGCGGCGCCATCGACCCACTTTTCTTCCGTCGCTCTTGTGGGAGCTTGAACGGCTCCCCAGAGCACTTGTTCCCGAAGAAATATCCCGTGGCAACTGTTCGCATATCCGCCGCCACGCCGCATGCGCTGAGTGGAGTCCCTAGGTCTATTCGGATTCGCTGTGTTGAAAATTATCGTGCGCACGTGTCCGAGGGAGTAGAGAGCCCGGAGGAGAATTGTTCGCGTCCGTCTGCGGACTGTTTCGGATGTTTCGCACAGATGGTCCTCAAATATGTGAAGCTCGGCACGCAGATCGCGACGTCGCGGCCAACAATACAATTGGAATTCAACACGTGCTGTCGGTACGTTTCGAAACGTAACGGCTATGTTTTAGTACATGGCTATTAGATACAATAGGTGCTCCAATGACTGCTCGAAACCATACTTGCTCCAATGAAATAACGTGTAATGGTTGATCCTTTATGTCGAGTGATGTACGGTAAGGTGCTGCCAACGACCTTGCGCTCACATGTCACAGTTATATGTGTTGTCTAACTGGCGTAGGCATGCATCATAAACTATGTTGCTGAACCCATTCGCTGATACAGTGGTGTTCAGGCATGCTTGTTCAACACAATTGCATGACGTTTCCGCGTTCACATGTATACCTTAATAATTTTGCACGCCCAGTCTTCGATGTCCGTCTCATCTGTCGACCATGATCCCAACGTTCATGCTTACATCTCTCAGCTCGACTTGTATGAGCCTTGGCAAGCCCGTGCAGCTTGTTGTAGATACTTGTTCCCGGGCCCCAGAGCCCGGATGCTATGAAATCGTGGCGCTCTTGGGCGCTCCGGGAGGAGGCATAGGATCAGTAGTGGCAGTGGGGTTTGTCGCAAGACTTGGGAGTGCGGCTGGGCATCCAAAGTTCTGGCATGCTCTCATACTATAAGGTTTCAGGAATAGTTCCTGACGCCGTCTTGAAAGCGCAGTGGGCCGTCTTTGAGGCCGTGGGGGCTTGTCCGAAAGGGTAAATCATTAAGAAGCCGAGGGCTGAAGACCCTCTGCGCACGCAAGCTTTCCATGATTTATGCCGTCCACGATGGCCCCGAGACGCTCCCAACATCCGAGAGGGGCCCACGGGACAGTGCTCGAAGAGGCCATCGAGGCCCTGTGCCCCAAGATCGTCCCCCGAGACCGCCTCGAGGCCTCAAGGAGGCCTCCACAGGCCCCCAAAAGGTCTCCAGGAGGCCTCCAGTGGCCCTCTGTCGACGACCAGGGAACGGTGGCGCGACAAGCCGAAAGCCACCATATCCGCCGCCCCCCTTCAGCTTGCAGAGGGGGTCGAGGCGTGCTGAGGTTTGACTGGCCCTTTGGGCCCGTCCGAAGGGTTCCCAGTGGGATCTCGACCCAAGCCGCCGACCACCAGGCGAAATCACAACGGACCTCCCTCAGCCTCCCCGACGCCCAGGATTGCTTCCAAGAGGGTCTCCAAAACGGCCAAGTTTGCGCAGGATAGCCTCCGAGACTGTCCCAACGCATCTCCAAGACGGCCAAGATGGCTCCAAGAGCGGCCAGGATGCCCCCCAAACGGCCCAATCTGACTCCAAGTCGACCTAAAATGACCTCAAGGCGGCCCAAACGGTCGCCAAGACGCTCCAAGAGGGCTCCAAGAGGACCTCCAGGAGGCCCAAACCACGGATGTCCTTGAAAATGATTGTTTGGCCTCGCCTTGTCGGCCTAGGGGTAAAGCGTGTTTTAGCGTTCTCGCCTTGTCGGCAAGTGGCAGCTGAAGACGACCCCAGCTAACTCTACGATAACCCCAAAGCGGCCCCAGAAGCCCCCCCTCAAATCGCCACAAGACGTGCCAATAAGGCCCCAAGAAAACGCAAAACGCCCCCAATATGTTCCCAACGACCTCCGAGACGACCCCGAATCGTCCCAAGATGGTTCCAATGCGGGCCAGTGAACCCCCCAAGACGATCCCCGAAGGCCAAGAGGCTCCGCAGAGGCTCCTTAGAATCTCCCAGGAAGTCACATAACGCTCCCAGAGAGGCTCTCCGGAGGCCCCAAGAAGCCCTCAATAAGTTTCCTCTTCCTCCTCCTCGTCCCCCTCCTCTTCCTCCTCCCTCTCTCCTCCTCCTCCTCCTTCTCCCCTCCTCCTCCTCCTCCTCATCTTCCTCCTCCCTCTCTCCTCCTCCTCCCCTCCTCCTCCTCCTCTCCTCCTCCTGCTCCTCCTCCTCCTCCTCCTCCTCCTACCTCCTCCTCCTCCTCCTCCTCCTCCTCCTCCTCCTCTACCTCCTCCTCCTCCGCCTCTGCCTAGACTCCATGCGCTAGACCCAATTCCCATCTCGGGTCCTGCCCTTGTGGCGGAAGAGGCGGGGCTGCTACCTTTGTCGGACCACTGCTTGTACCCCGTTCTCCTCTTTCAATTATTACATTCCGTTCGTGTCTGGCGCAAGGAGCCAGCGCGTTGGCCGCAAGTGGCTGACCGCGACAGAGTAATCATACATTATTCCCAACAGACCACCAGAGCCAGCCAGCGTGGCTGAGGAGGCAACGTGCAATCCGAGCCAACGCTGGATTTCTGGTTCGCCTGGCGGTCCCACCGGTCGTAGAAGGCAAGACGACTACTTCCAAAACAACTTCAATGCGTCGTAGTCCTGGTGTTGCTCAGGTTGTGCTACTTCCAGTCCCACCAGCCCTCTGGGCGTGAGTGGTTCATTGAAATTCCTCCTCCATCTTCCCTCTTTCCCTTCGGGGGAAAATGTATCAACGTTCCCTCTTAAAAACACCCCCTCCCCCAGTCGACAAGCAGCCAACCATGACCAATGCGGGCACCCCCCCACCACCCCTGTAACAAAAACAATGTGATGCTTATGTCGGGGCAAATCTTCTTAGGTCATGATCGGGGGGACCGCGAGCAATTTGTATTGTTTTTACGCACGGACGGCGGGGTTGCCCGCAGATTGCCTGCTGAGGGCAGGACCAGCACCCCTGTCAAAAAATATCCTGGCGATGGACCCAACCATATGCAGTTACGAGTACCGCAAAGCAGGTTGAACGAATGAGAGGGAGCTCCCTATGGGGCCACGAAGCGTGTGAGGGGTGTGCCGAAATGGGTGCGGTGCCGCCATGCGGACGCAGCCACTGGGGCCCTCGGTGGAGCTCCCTATGGGGCCACGAAGCGTGTGAGGGGTGTGCCGAAATGGGTGCGGTGCCGCCATGCGGACGCAGCCATTAGGGCCCTCGGTGGAGCTCCCTATGGGGCCACGAAACGTGTGAGGGGTGTGCCGACATGGGTGCGGTGCCGCCATGCGGACGCAGCCATTAGGGCCCTCGGTGGGGCTCCCTATGGGGCCACGAAACGTGTGAGGGGTGTGCCGAAATGGGTGTGGCTGACGCGGAGGGGGAGGAGGGAGGGAGGGGGCAGCGGGAGGAAGGAAGGAGTGAACGCGGGGCGTTGTCTCTTCAAAACGAGGACCCAACACCACAGGATGGTTGGGAAAAAATCGGGGCATAATGTAGATCATGCGCGGGCACCCCGCGATCACTGCGCATTGGTTTTTGACTAGGACGGCAGGGGTGTCGGCATATTGCCTGAGATTTGCAGGCCCACCAGACGCCATGATGGCCACCCCGCCGCGATTGCGCACTGATTTTCGACAAGGTGGAGGCCGAGACGTTTCCCCATGTGTACTGCGACGTGCGCAGGCGCACCTGGCACACTCTGCGCGTGCCCCGAACGTGGCGCGCCTGGCGCGGTTGGAGCATGCGGCACACATGGAGCACGAGGATGACGTGGCGCATCTGGCGCACCAAGTGTGCCTGGCACGCTTGGGCCACACGGGTCCCTGGCGCTGTCCATCCAGAGCCTGCCGCTGAACACGCCGCGGCTCGGGTGCTACTCGTGTGCTGGGAGGGCGGGTGGGAATGAGCGAGACGGCTTGCGGGCGGGGAGGATGTCTTGACCCCGCCCCCCCGGGTTTGGAGCGTCTTGGGTGCATCGGAGAGCCTCTAGGGGCCTCTTGAGCGTCTCTTGGGAGCCTCTTGGGAACCTCTTGGAGGCTTCTTGGGTCCTCATGGACGCCTCTTGGGGCCCTCTGGGGGAACTATTGGGAGCCTTGGGGGCCATCTCGGGGCCACCATAGAGGAGATCGATCAAAGAAGGGGGGGGTGCCAAGTTGCGAGGGGACCCCCTCCCCCTCCCCCTGGGCTTGGAGGGGAGGGAGTCGCGGCCAATTAGAACATCCAAGATAGTAGCCCAGCAAAATCCTGGAAAATTAGAGTTGCGCCGTGAGGCAAGACCCACACGAAGCACGAGGACAAGTGCGGCAGACTGCGTGTCCAACATGCCGTCTGGGCGTCCAGGGGTGGTAAGCGATGGGCGAGTCGCAAGTGGGGCGCCAAGCCCAGATCGCGCCAACGGCGTGTGCGAGCCAGCTGAGCTGCTCCGCCGAGGAACGTCGAAAACCCTGGAGGGTGGGACGGGCCCGGGGGAGCGGCCGCGGCAGCGAAGGCAGAACCACACGAAGCGGCCCGAACTCAAGGGGCCATCATCCCGCGTACCACGGGGAAGGCCCCGAGACTCCAGGGGGCCGACCCTTCCATCAGCTGCGCGAACGCTGGCTGATGTACTGCGTGAGGCCAAGCTGGTGGGAAAGAACATCGCCAGCGAGGCGGGGGAACCCAGGGTAGAGCTGCACGACAGCCGCCCGCATGAAATACGGAAGGGCGGCCACCGTCGGGGCACTGTCTACCCGTCGTATCTGCCATTCCCCGCGGGGATCCAGGGTCGCAGCTAAACGCCACTATGAGTGAGGTAATGTTACCGCCACCAGCGCGGGGTCCTGGTCGGCCCTGGGGTGGGGGGACGATCACCCCCGCGACCCAAAGGTTTGCGAGCTGGGCAGCTGCCCAGCCCGGGAGAGACCCAAGCGGAAGGGCGGTGGGGACAGACACCACCGGCCCTCCGCGCGGAGGGGCTCCCCAGGGACACCTGGCGAGTGAGGGGAACAAGGAGAACGACCACGTCGCGGTCCAGGGGCATGTGAACCCGGCAGCCGGCCCAGCCCAGGAGGGACCCGAGGAGAGGGGCGGTGGGGACAGACATCA